GTTTTTGATATTATTTAGATATTTATACTAGTAGCTAAAAAGGTATTATCTCTTATTCATATTCCTAATTATAATGCTTAGCATAAGCAATGAAGAATATTGAAGAGTATTATTGCTAAGCTCTTCTTCTAATATCTGAATGCTCTATTCCATAATATTAGAACAGTTCGAATTGCTACTTGTAAGAATGCTAAGCATGCACTCTCATTCTGCTATTGCTATTTGTCTGCAGTGCTGAAGCTTCTGAGGAAACTATTCTGAATCTTTCTTACTCGAGAGATATATTAAGCAGTTATTATCATAGCAGAATATCCAGCTGAAACTTCTATAATTAATAGAATCCAATACTTGCTCTAAGAGAATATTTTTGCTTAGTTGATTAGATTTCTGTTATCAAGCGATATTCATCTAGCATTCTTTCTAAACTAATTGCTATTTATTCTTCTGAAATTAATAGCAGTTGTATGCAATGTATTCTTATTTATTGCAATTATAGCAAGTAATGCTATTCCTCTTATTATACTGCTTATTAGTAGCATCGAGTTCTATAGGATTGGTATGCATAGTGCTGCTTTGAGCTGTACTGCTATATTGACTGCTATTCTTGTTTTGAAGTTTCTTGCTCGTATTAGCTGGAAATCTTCAAGTCTAGTATCAGAGCTTGTATGCGCACAAAGGAAATAGGTGGCCCTTGCAACCCCTGGTGGCGGTTCAGAGCTGCTGCAAGAGCTTCGCTCCGAAGCAGCGCTCTCATACAATGCTGCATAGCTATCAAGCTATTATTATTCCATCTAGTCCAAGCCAATTGTATACATAAGGGAAAGGGGAACAATAGATCCAGCAGCGAAAAGAGGAGGAGGAAAATAGATTCAGTAGTCCCTTTGAATAAAAGTATCAACAGAGCAGCTTGGGAGCAGCTTATATCCCTTCACCTTACTTGTATACTCTTTTTACCCTAACAAGTCTGAACCTTCTACTCTTTCCCGGGAAGTAAGCTGTTGAAAGTGAGAATAGCTCTGGTTACACGAAGCGGCAGCGCTGCTCCAGAGCAACAACCACAACGAGCTAGCAACTCCGACCCCTCACAGATCCTAAGCTAACTCCCCTTTCAGACTCTCCCTCCAAGCTCGAATCCAAACTCAGCTTATAAGAACCCCTTGCTCGAGGCACCAGCAGATATAGCTGGATTGCAATGCCAGAAATACGAGCTCGATTATCAGTTGAAAGAAGAGAAGATATAGCAGCAGCTGAGAAGCAAGCGTGCTTGCTTAATACTACTCCAGAGCAGCAATACCAGCCCAGAGCTTCAGCTAGCTAGCTTCAGCCCTCTCAGCATCCCTTCTATGCTAATCTCTTCAGAAGTACTCTCAACAGCGCCTGCACAGCTATATTGCAGCTTGCTAGCTCTTATATATAAGAAGGGATTGTATATGGAGTTGAAGATATTTCTATATAATCTGCAGTATTATTTCAACATTTGCTGCTTAATTAATGAAGCGAATAAGATGGAATATGCAGTGCGCTGCTTGAAAGATGATTTCAAGCAGAACTAGATCAACTATATCGCTTACTAGAAGAAGGAATAGCATAAGCTTGTTTCTATTATCTTTGAAGAATTCGAATCCTTTTTAGAGAACTAGTTAGCTAATCCTACTATCTGCGCTGTTACTACTGCAGCGATGCTTGCAAGCATTGCTCAAGGCAAGAGCAAATCAGTAATAAGCTTCGTACATTAGTATCAGAAAGCGGAGCTTGAGTTTTCTCATTCTGATACCGAGCAATACTGCATAACAGCTGTTCTTATATGCTTTAAACTAGAGATTCGTATTGCTATCAGTATGCAGACAATGCTTCTGAGCAGCTGAAATGCTCTAATTAGCTTAGTATAATGTATTGAATCTGCTTAAGAGATAATTACCAACTTTCAATCTGCTATTAAAACGCTTCTAAGCAGCAGCTCAGGAACTGCTACTCTCTTATATTGTAGCTGTTATAGCTGTAGCAAGCCAGGCTATATAGTAAGGAACTGTACAGCTCTGCATGATTCTCAGGCATTTCCTCTTATGAGCACTCAAGCTTCGTTAATGTATTCTCAGACAGTTGATAACAACTTTGCTTGCTGTTACAACTATTAGAAGACAAGCTATTTTGCTAACCTATGCTCGAAGCCTCGATGAAACGTTTGTTATACCTGCAATAAGCTAGGCTACTATAGTTTCAGTTGCTCAGAAGCAGAATGTTGGATTTGCAGGAAGAAGGAGCATACAGCAAACAGCTGCAAGCAGGCTAACAAGGTAGCAACAGCTATGCAACAGAGCTGAGGAGATGCTGAGCGGAAGCCTTGCTAGCTTACTATTTACATAAAGCTGTTGCTTGGAAACAAAAGGAAGCATATATATAGGTTGATTGACTTGAGAGCAGAGGAAAATCTGATCAACCGCTGCTTAGCTGAAGCTCTAGCGCAGAACCAATCTTTTGAAGCATACTTTAAGCTCGTTTCAATTAATCAGAGAGCTATTATTATATATAGCAGCTGCTTTATTGATATGAAGGTTATAAATAGCCTAGAAACATTCAGAAAGCAGCGCTATTGCTTTGTAATAGCAGATATTAGCCAGTTCAGCCTGATCCTGAGATTCCTGTAGCTTGAGATTATCAATCCGGTAATATGATGAGATATAAAGCAATAAAGATTTCCTCTCTAGCACTTCCAGATTCAGCTCTGCACTATGATAAAAAAGCTTGAGAGAGCAAGAGTTACTTTTACAGCATATTACTATCCAAGCTTACCAGATCTACCTCTCAAGGCTGAGCTAGAAAACGCAGCACCAGAGCTGCACCTGCTCCCTGAGTATCACAACTTCATCAATCTATATATGGAGGAAGTATCAAAGTTGCTCGCATCCTATACTAATATCAACTATTGCATCGAGCTTGAAGAGAGAGCAAGACTGCTCTGGAAGCTCTTATACGCTCTTTCTGCAGCTGAACTAGAAATGCTTAGGAAATACTTGAAGAAGATGCTAGCTAGGAGATAAATTCAATTCTCAACCAGCTCTGCTAGTATATTTATACTGTTCATGCTAAAGAAAGGAAGCAAGCTGCGCTTCTGCATAAACTATAGAGCGCTGAATCGGATTATATGCAAGAACTGCATTCTATTGCCTTTGATTGCTGAGATCCTTAATCAACTGAGCTATGTATAAATCTATACTAAGCTTAATCTTAAGAATGCATACTATCAGCTCCGAATTCGTAAAGAAGATGAGTAGAAGATTGCTTTTCATATGAAATACAGCTATTTCGAGTACTATATTCTGCTCTTTAGCTTTACTAATGCTCTAGCTATATTCCAAGCATATATTAATAAAGCGCTAGCAAGCTTAGTAAATATAATCTGCATTATCTATCTGAATGATATTCTAATTTATAATAATAATGCTAAACAGCATATAAGCTATATTTGAAAGATTTTAAAGCAGCTATAGCAATGAAAGCTATATCTTAATCTGAGAAAGTACAAGTTCAATATATAATAGATGAAATTCCTAAGCTTTATAATATTCCCAGAAGAAATTAGTATAAATAAGAAGCGCATTATAGCTATTGCATAGTAGCTACTTCTATATACTGTTCGCAATATTCAGATATTTCTTGAATTTACTGGATTCTATTGTTAATTTATACGAAACTACTCTAAAATTGCTATACTATTGATTGATTTTTTATAAGATAGCAGTATAAGCATGATTGCATTCTTGAACTATGCCTGAGTAGCTTTCAAGATTCTAATTATGCTCTTTACAATAGCTTCATTGCTATGCTACTATAATGCTGCATTATTAATAAGAGTTGAAATGAATGCTTCTGCTTTTGCTATAAAAGCTGTGCTAGCTTAGCTATTTCAAAGCTGCTAGCATTCAATTGCCTTTCATTCAAAGAAGCTCTCTCTAACAGAAATACAGTATAGCATAAGAGATATCGAGCTGTTAGCTATTGTAAACGCTATATCAAACTAGCAGCATTATTTGTTATATCTATCTAAGCTTGTATTCATTCTTACAAACTATCTCAACTTGCAATATTGGAAGATTAAACAGAAGCTATCTGCTTGCTAATTATACTAGCTGAATAATCTCAGCATATATAATCTTATCATCCAATACTGCCCCAGTAAGTTCAATCCAGCTGATAGGTTATCCAAGCAGCCAGATTACCAGAGGAGAGAGAGAGCTGAGCAGAAGCTGCAAAGCTCCAGCAATTTCATTACGATAAAGAATCTAGAGAATTAGAGAGAACCTTGTATTGATTGTATTCGAAGAGTGAGAGTAAAGCAAGTAGCAAACCTGAGTATCTTCTGTTTTCAAGTATGCGCTCTTTGCTATTTAAGCAAGAGTGCGGAGTTTGAATAGATAGCAGATCTGAGTATCTTCTGTTTTCGAGAATACGCTCTTCGTTATTCAAGCAAGAGCGCAGAATTAAAGCGGAATATCCGCTTAGCAACTAATATTGCTTGGATATCGGATTGCAAACTAATTATTCTTCTGCATCTAGCAGTAGAGCGAAGCGTAATAATAGTGCTGAAGCAGCTTGCAGAGCTAATAAGAGTACATCTATTATAATTGCAATAAGAAAACGTTTTTGTTCAGATGAAAGCTTAGCGCAAGAAGCGAATATGCAGCTCTACAGCTGATATAAAGCTATAGCAAGTTATTAAGAGCTTATTATGCTTCAGGAGATGTATATTTGTGCTAAACTATTTATCAACTCGCAAGAAGCTTTTGAAAGCATATTATAATGATTCAATAGCTAGCTATCTCAGCATAGTTAAGTTTACTAAGATGATTTCTTATTATTATTATTAGAATGCATTAGCTAAGGATATAAAGAAGCATATTAATATATATATAGTATGCTAGCGGATAAAAACAAGGAAATAATGCTTATATAGCCTGCTCAGTTTCTTATTATCAGTAACTCGCTTATAAGCTAAGATATTAATAAACTTTATTATTAGTTTGCTTGGATTCATTAGTTTCTACAATAAAGCTTATAATGCTATTCTAATAATTATTAATAAATACTCGAAGTACGCTCTATACATTCCAATAATAATACAGCTTATAAGCAGCAATCTAGCAAATATTATGCTATAGTACATATATCAGTTCTATAGCATTTCTGAAAGCATTGTATCAAACAGAAGAAGCTTCTTTACAAGCTACTTCTAAACTAACTTCTGCTTTTATCTAGAAACTAAGCAGCGCTTAAGTACTGCATTTCACTTCCAAATAGATGAACAGACTGAGCAGCAGAACTAGAATCTCAAATAATATCTTTGCACTTATTGCAGCTTTTCTCAAGCAGATTGGATGCAGCGCTTACCTCTTGTACAAGCAGCGTATAACAGCGCAAACTATAGCAGAATAGAATTATTATCTGCTATATTGCTCTATAGATTCCAACTAATAAAACTAATAGATATTAATATACAGTACTCAAGCTATATTTCCAAAATCTTAGAGCAGCTTGAAGATTTTGCTAAAGCTTGTAAGAAAGCTTAGAAAAGCTTTAATCATGCAAAACAAGCATATATCAGATAGTATAACAAATGCTATACTAATAAAAGATTCTCCCTTAGCAATCTTATTCTTATTTTAGCTAAACATTTATACTAAAAAAGCATTAATAATAAACTAATAAATAAATACCTTAGCTCTTTTCGAGTGCTGAAGATTGTAAAAGCACATGAACTAGCATACAAGCTCGAATTGCTAGCGAAATACAAGATTTACAATATCTTTCCAATTGTAGCTCTAAAGAACTTTAATAAACGAGATGAAGAAGAGCTTGAGATGCACTCTGATATCAATCTCAAGAAAGAAATGCATTGGAAGATAAAAGCTATTCTAGCATACCGAGAGCTATCTAGAAACTGCTAATTTCTCATACATTGAAAGAAATATAGCAGCAATGAGAATTTATAGGAACTATAAGCATTTATTGATAACGAACTATTGATTAAAGAATACAAGGTATAGTTGAAGCAATAACAATGCAGTACAGAAGCTGCTTGGTTTTCGATTGGAAAACTAAAAACTCTTATATAGCTTATTCATTCGAAGAGTTAGCAATGCTTCTGCATTGTAGCAATTAGTGCTAGTTATTTTCTATACTGTAAAAGCATGCTTATTCATTCAGAGTTTTTAAAGAGATTACTCTTCCTCTTCGAGAGCTGCTTTAGAAGGCTTGCAAGCTGCTTCAGCTAGCATCTCCAGAGCGCTAATACTGCGCTAAAGCAGCAACATCAACTCTCTGCTTATAACAGGAGCAGAAGATATGCTGACTACTGGCGCAGAAGCAGCGCTTATAGAGCGCACTAGCTAAAGAATACTCTGCAAGTTCTTATTGATTAGCTCTTAATCAAAGAAGCAAGCATTATTCAGAGCTAAACCCGCTTCGTAAGAAAGCTATAATGGCTTGTAAGCAGCGCGAAAGACAAGAGGAAGCAGAGATAATACTATTTACAAGCTAGCAGAAGTGATTGCTGCAAGCATACCGAAAATAATGAGCACTGAAGCTTATAACAAATTAATATAAGAATTTGTAAAGCAAGGAAACTAGCGCATCTAATTGATCCCAGCATTAGATTTCAGGCTTCTGAATATAGCAATGCATGTACTTCTAGCATCAGCTAGCAGAGGAATGTACTGTATCTGATTCCTTGGGAACCTTCTTCCTCTTAATAGCTTAGCAATGTTAGCGCAGCGCTGTATATACGATATATATGAATACTTACGGAAGCTATAGGAGTGATAGGAGGCGGAGCCTTCGGAGCAGGAGTTTCGGGAGACTTGAGGAGAGGCGAGAGAGAGAGCGAGGGCAAGGGAGAAGCTCTCTTGCGCTTCTTGCTGGCAGAAGCCTTGCAGCTATCACGCTGACCGCTGCAGCGGCTATAAGAAGGAGAGGATGCAGGAGCAGCGGGGGCGCTCAAGAGCAAAGAGTGGCGAGGAGGGGGCACTGCATCAACAGCGCTGGAGGAAGCATTGCTAGCTTCCGAGGCCTCAGGGGCGATCTAACTCTCAGAAACCTCAGGAGCTGGCGCAGCTTCCTCAGATGCATTAATAATAGTAAAAGGAGATATCTGCAATAAATCAGCTTCTATACAATGCTTCAGAGAATAGGGATATATATACTATGCTATTGCTGCTATTATTGTTATTATTGCTGCTGCTGCTGTAGTAGCTGAGGAAAGGGAAAAACAGAAAAAGAAGGGAATTCAGATGCAAGAGCGAAATAGAAAGCAATAGTACCTTACTAGCGCATGCATTCCAAGCAATCCTATTATCTAGCTCTAGAAGCTATTCCGAGATTATAGTAGTATGAATGATTGCGCTAAGCTGCACAGTCTTCGTAACTACGCTGCATCTGCACTGCGCTAGCGCTAAAGCAATTTTTACAATATCATATAACTTATTAGCAGAGAAAAACTTAGCTCTCTAGAGCAAAGCTGTAATGAGCACTGCAGCAATCCGAAGATTCCTAAGTACACGAAGAGGTTTATGCTAACAAGAGTGGTATCAAAGTATCAAATCCTTGAATACGGAACCGTACAAGTCTTAATAAGCGATGCAAGTATTCACTGCCTTTGGAGCTATCAGAGTAGAGAGTAATCTGATACTTAGATTGATAACTGAAGAACTATCTGAAGGAAATCTATCTAATAGTAAGAAATGTGAATCTTTATATACCTAGTTCTTCAGTCCCTTGCTTGCTGGTGATCATCCTAGATCATCACCGATCATTCCGAATCACTACTGATCACTGAGCGCTGGTGATCACTAGTGATCATCCTATTATCTGATTAGTTGGCTTATAATCCTAATCCTGAGTTATGTAATCCTTGTGGATTATTCGATGTTGAGTTATAATACCTGGTTCTTGTTTGCTTGTAATCTGTTTCCATGATCTGCATATTGAATGAGTTATAATATCATCTCCTTTCTATTAGTTGTTGTTCTCAATAATCTTCTGTAAGTATTCGGCAAGTTCTTCGTATGCGTGGTTATGCTTTTCTAATCGAGATGTTGAACAGAATCTTAAATTCTCGTGTTAGCAAATCTTCTTCTGATGCTTTCGTTACTTTCTCGAAGCTGCATCTTCGTTATCTCGAGCGTTATTCGTATATTGAGTTTACTAGCTACGAAGTTATGCTGTGCTTATTGTATCTGAAGGAGGGGGTGCAATGCAAGATGGTGGATGGAGTTAAGAGCTGTTCTCAGTATATGAAATGAGGTTGTTCCTGTGATGCTGGTCGAATTTCTATGTCTTCTCGTGAGCCTTCTCTTTCCCCTTTCTTAGTTCTTGCTGATGGTACTGCTTTAGTATCTCGTATTACTGATGAGTTGGTTCGTTTGGATGGTAGGGAGGTAGAGGAGGAGGAGCGTTTGTTGAAGCGTTAGCGAGAGCTAGCGGATGCTCAGGCCCGTTTGTCGGAATCTTTGGGTTGCTTGTTCTGCCTGAAAAAGCAACAATGCTTTCTTCAGGAAAAGGGGATAAAACTGGTAAATGAAGGTTTAGAAGAGGAGGAGCGTAAGCGTGTGTTTGCTGAGGTTCGGGCTGTGATCTCCATGAAGCTTGTGATAGTTGAGGAATCGGCTGCGGTGGCTGGGGATTCTTCTTTCGAAGTTTTTGATTGGAATTCTGTGGATGTGGGGAATGGTGTGGTAGATTGGTCTGGGTTTTTGGATGAGATGGTGAGCTCTGAGTTCCTTTCCGAGCTGAAGCGATTGTCTTAGGTGCTGGCTTTCCTTTTCCAATATTCAGCTACCTTTTCCTGAGCGTTTTCGATGTTCTTCCGTGATTCTCATGAGTTTTCGCTTGCTGAATAGCCTTTCCATTTGATAAGATATTCCCTTGTGCTGTTTATATCTCTATGCTTGAGAATCTTCTCTATCTTATACTCTAGTTCGTTGTTTTCTACTTCTGCTGTATTGTTCGCTAATATTTCCTGTGCTACTAGTTCTAGCAATGAGATATGGAAAACTGAATGTATCCTCATCCTGTAGAATAATACTAATTCGTAATTAACCGAAGAAATCTATTGCAAAATTTTGAATAATCCTAACTTCTTATGATTGAGCTTGCTGCTGGATTTGATTGTTTTGATGTTTTTCCGAAGTAGATAGACTTTATCTCCTTTCTGTAGGATTAGTTTCTCAATTCTTTTGGAGTTTGCATATTGCATTATTTGTTCTTGAATGAATTATAATTCTAATTAAAGTTCCTTCTAAACTTTCTTAATCTTCTTAACTCTTTTGTTTGCAGTTTCTATATCTGCTTCTAATAATACCTTATAATAAGCTATTGAATTATATTCATAAAGTATAAAGAATAGCAATTGCTTTATTATGCTTGTATCTGCGCTATTATAAGCGAACTGTGCAAGAAGTAATAGATTAATTCAGTTATTCTGTTTCTAGTTGATATAGTATTGTAGATACTGTTTAACAATCTGATTTATTCTTTCTGTCTGTTCATCTGTTTGCAGATGAAATGCTATAGATATTCTGTAATATATTCCAAGCTGTTTTATAAGCAAAGTTCAAAACTTTGAATTGAACTTTCTGTTTCTATTGGAGATTACTTCTTCTAGCATGCTATGATTAGCAATGATTATTCTGAGAAATGTATATACAAGTTTCTCTGCTATACTGCTTTTCTTGTAGAAGAGAAAATAAGCATACTTGCTCAGTTTGCAAACTATTACTAGAATGCTATTGTATTATATCTTAATTAAGAGTTCTTGTAAGAAGAATAGCTTGATGATAAAGTCTAGACTAATGAATTGCTAAATAGTTATAAGTACTAGTAAGGAGTGCAATAGTTTGTAAGGCTTGTATTTTTCTGCTTTATTCTTTTTGCAGCTATTATATTGTTATAAGATGTTTTCAATTCTTTTTCTAAAATCTAATAGATTTCAGTATTTCTTGATGCATTTATAGATTGCTCTAATTCTCTAATGTTTGTATGCTAGTATACTGTATATATTCTTGATATAGTTGTTTTGTTCATTCAGAGTTATTAATTCTGAATTCCTTTCTGAGAATCCGATTCTGAGAGCAGCATTCAGTTCTTTATATATATTGATAAGATTTTCTGATTCATTCTGAGTAAAGATATTCTATATATCCGAGGAATCTGCGTTTCAATAGTCTGATCTTCTGCTAAGAGCATCTGCTTATTCATTCTCTGAGCTTTTATAGTATACAATCTTGAAGTCGAACTGTAAGAGAAATTCTGCTTATCTGATTTGTTGTTTATTCAAAACCTTAATTATTATGAATATAGTCAGATTCTTGTAATCAGAGTGAACTACGATTGGGTGCTGTATACCAATAAGGTAGTACTGCTACTCTTCGAAAGCTTTTACTATTGTTATAAGTTCCTGATCAGAGATTCCGTAATTGATTTCCAAGCTATTCAACTTCTTCGAGAAGTTGCTTACAATCCTCAGATATTCTTAGTTATCTTGCTAACCAAGTTGTTCTTCAAGTGCATATTCCAATGCATTAGTTTCAATTTCAAAAGGCTTATAAGGATCTGCTTTATACAGAATTAGTTCTGAGATAATATGCCTAATAATCTTGTTGAAAGCTTCTTATGCTTTAGGAATTCATTCGAAGAGCTGCTCCTTTTTAATGAGATTTATAAGGGGATATGCGATCCAGCTGTAGTTCTTAATGAACTGCTTGTAGAAGTTAATGTATCCGAGGAAAGATTTAATATTTCTAATATTTCTAAGAACTAGCTAATTTCTAATAGCTTCTATCTTATTTTTCTATAGCTTAATGCATTCTAGCTTAATTGTGAATCTGAGATAGTTAATCTTTTATATATGAAAGTAATTCTTTGCAGATTCTATAAGAAGTTTTGCATCTTAAAGCATTTGCAATACTGTTTCTATATACTTCTTATATTCTTTCAGTATTCGAGAGTAAATAAGAATGTTATTAAGATAGGCAATGATGAACTAATTCAGATATTTGCATAGAATATAATTGATTATTTTCTGAAATGAAGCTGAAGCGTTTGTTAAACTAAAGAATATAACTAAATATTCGTAGTATTTATAGTGTATTCTAAAAGCAGTTTTCCATTCTTCTCCTTTCTTTACTCTGATTAGATTATAAGCTTCTTTCAGATTCAGAACTATAAATCACTATACTTCTTGCAATCTATCTTGTAATTTCTTAATAAATAGCAATGAATATCAGTTCTTGATTATAATATTATTGAATTGCCTGTAATTAATACATAGCTTAAGCTTGCTATTCTTCTTAGATATAAATAGAATAGAATATTCTGTTAGTAATTGCAATAATTGTATATATTCCTTCTTAAGATTCTCATTGAAATACTTTCTAAGTATCTCTAGCTGTATCTTGTTTAGTCTGTAGATAGGGAAGAATTTGGGCTGTTTCCCTTCTTATAGCAGAATCTCGTGGTTGTATGGGCTGTATTCTGGCAATTCTGTATCCAATTCTTTCTGAAATAGTTTCTTGAACTTGTAGTATTCTCGTAATATATTTGCAAGTATTGGTTCTGATTCTTATGCTGTTTCTGCTATCTGAAGGAATAGTAGGTATTGTTAAGCATGCTTCTTTTCTAATAGCATTTTCGAGGGCTTTGAGCGTTTGCTCTGAGCTGGATTGAGCGCTTGAGAGCTTAGTTTCAAGGTTTTTCTCGTATAGATCTATAATTCATATTCTGAAGCTTTTTCTTATTGCTCTGAAGCAAATTAACTTGCTGAGAATCTTGCTTCTATTGTTTTACTAATCTATTAACGCTCTAGCACTGTTTGGATTCGCTTATTACTAGATTCTTCTCCTTAAACTGCTAGCCCTGCTGGTTTGAAAGTATATGAGAAGTTGTATGAAGCCTTTTTTTCTAAATATTCTTTAATCACTAGCTTCGATTCTGCGCTGTTAATTGTAACTATTTCTCTGAATACAGCTTGTTTCCATAAGATCTAGCTAATAGTTTAATCGATTTGAGAATTGTGCTTCTTAAGCTATGAAAGCTTTATAATCAGCTTATGCTGTACTATATCCGTAATATCAAAAGAAGCTCTAATTGCATATTCTTAGATTAAAATAGATAGATAATTAGTCTTCTTATTAATTATTTCTTAGTTATATGCAATAGATTGTTCTTCTATAATGCTAAGAGTATATGAGCATTTCTTCTATCTCTATTGTAGTTATGCTTAATTAATGATATATAGAAATATAAAGTTTTTCTAAGCGCTACTATTCAATAGTATGCTATACTTGTATCCTTGAATATATATATTGAACTTAATATAAGCATAATCTGTTCTGAAAGCTTTATATAGAAACTGTTCTAATCTAATTATCTGCAGTTTCTTTACAAACAATCCTATTCTTTTAGATTTGTTGAAAACTGCTTATTCTTCTAAGCTTGCTTTGCTGCTTCTCAAGCAAGCTTCTTAGCTTGCTTTTGCTTATATCGTTATTATTCCTAGTTTTTCTTCTATTAATACTAATTGCAAATCTTGTTATTAATATGAATTGTACAGAGTATCGTTTTATACTGCTACCATTTTATTTTCTTGTTTATGCATTGCATAGAGCAGTTGTCTAGTAGTCCGATGTATGCATTGTAGTGCTATTTATTGAGAATCTTTCTGAAGCAGAGTTTCTGTTCTTTAATAGCTTAAAGGATTTGTTCTGATTCTCTAATGGAGAACTATTCATATTATATCTTATCTAAGAAATGCATTTTGCAGCTATAATAAATGCAGGAGATTCAAGCTAATTCATAATATAGATTGTAAAGTAAGCTAATCCAAGAGTTTTTATCTTCCTATGCTTCGATGTTTTGCAAGAGAATGCAGATGAAGAGCTCTTCCAGCCCTATTCTGTAGATAAGATATTCAATCTATATTGTTTTCTTGTTCTATTCAATGCTGAAGGGAAATCTTCTTTTAAGCTTATTAGGCGTATTGTTTGCAGAAAGCTTCTGCAAGCTGCTAGGTTATTTGTTCTAGCTTGATTCTTCTATTGCTTAAGAGATATTCTTTATATTGCTTAGATATTTGTACTAGTAGCTAAGAGAGTATTATCTCTTATTCATATCTCTAATTATAATGCTTAGCGTAAGCAATGAAGAATATTGAAGAGTATTATTGCTAAGCTCTTCTTTCAATGCCTGAATGCTCTGTTTTATAATATTAAAGCAGTCTGAATAGCTACTCATAAGAATGCTGAGCGTGCATTCTCGTTCTGCTGTTGCTATTTATCTGCAGTACTTAGATCTCTAAGAGAACTATTCTGAATCTTTCTTACTTGAAAGATATGTTAAGCAGTTATTATTATAGCAGAATATTCAGCTGAGACTTCCGTAATCAATAGAGTTCGATACTTGCTTCAAGAGAGTATTTTTGCTCAGTTGATTGGGTTTCTATCATCAAGCAATATTCATCTAGCATTCTTCCTGAATTAATTGCTATTTATTCTTTCAGAATTGATAGTAATTGCATACAATATATTCTTATTTGTTGCAGTTATAGCAAGTAATACTATTCTTCTTGCTATACTGCTTATTAGCAGCATTGAGTTTCATAGAATCAGCATATATAGTGCTGCTCTGAGCTATACTACTATATCAACTGCTATTCTTATTTTGAAGTTTCTTGCTTATATTAGCTGGAAATCTCCAAATCTAGCTTCCTTTCTTCTTGAATTTCTTTACTTATTATTCATACAAACAGTTATTAATACAGATAGCTTGATTAGAGAATATTACAAAGTTCTCTAGCTAATTCTGCTTAGAGATTTCATCTTTAATATCATTCTTAAATTCCTTATAATAATACTTTATAAGATTTTTGTTTTCTTATAAAAGTTATATTAAGAGTTGCTTAAATCTGATTATATAAGCAGAAGCTGATTTGGTTTGCTTGAGATTTATGAGCTGCTAAGCTATAGTATATTCTTTATTGAAATTATTAAAGATTTTCTTAAGAGCTTTCTTAAAGCTTTCAAAAGAATTAAATATATTCTTAGTATTCTGAGTATGCATATTGAGATTGTTCTGATGCTCCAAGTAGTTATATAGAGAAAGCTTGTATTAAATGAAAGCATTCTTTTCGAAACGAGTTTCTGCAAAGATAATTTTCTCAGATTTTATAATAAACTGGATTGCATAATATAAGAAATATGCTCTATAGTAAATAAGAAA